TTGAAAATGAAAATGAAAACATTCAAAAGTTTTTATCTGCCAAAATTCCATGTAATGAGGGGACGATGAAAGCTTTGATAACAGGCACTTTTTCTTCAAAAACAAGTTCAGAAGTTAAATAAGGAATGATGTAACAACACATGGTACATTTTCAAAATTGGTGACATGAAAACTGACTCACAGTGGACTGTCCTTCGGGCCTCAAAGTTTCAATAATATTAACATGAAGGTGAAATGGGGTTTAACATCATGTTCAAGATTATTGCACTTACATAACGCCATCAGAGCCAACCAGTTTCGTTTTATCCCCTTAAAGCTGAGTACCAGGCAGGGTAAAAACAAGTACCATATTTTAATGTCATTTGGTATGATGTGGCCAGGGAATCAAACCACTGACCTTCAGCTCTCCAGGCAGACGATCTATCCACTAGACCACAGCAGTGGTTGAATAATACTTAAGAGGTCAATGACCCTTAATTAACATAAAGTACCATTCAAATTGGTGAGAAACCAATGTTGATAAAATTCAAACACCAAGTTCCTTTATTTGTCGTATAATGAGAAAGTGATAAATGTTTAAACCACTTCAAGTATTATTACTTTGAACAATTTAATTGAATTGTATTTACTTGACCAATTTCAACAGAAAGTCTGTATATGTACGACAGATATATTTTTCCAGAATTAAATTGCCCATAATTAAGGGTGCATTATACGCGAATAAATAAGTCTTGTGTACATTGATCAGTTGGAAGGAGTTCTAATTGGGATTGTTCACTTGCCAATATATTAGCAAATATCGCCGTGGGCGCTTATTGGAGCAGGGCGCTTATTACGTCGAATACGGTAATTTATTTGCAAAACTGGGATTTTCTTAAAAGTCCTTATCTTTATAATTTCTGGGGTATCTTGATATTTCATTCAATTCATTTTTTATCCTGTTAACAGTGAAATGCATGTCCCCTCTACATAGCTATAACACTAGTTACAAATAGAATAGAACTAGGGACTTTTTACAGACACTAGCTTCAGTCTTGGGGCCGAATATCAGCTTCTGAGCAGGTCTAGATAAATACGCATATTGATTAACTTTTCAGGACAGGATTCTCACTAACAGGGGCTGGTTTCAAAAGTGATTGTATCACACTGGTTGTCATCCAATACCTTAACACAGAGTTACTATGGTCGCAGTGTTGTAATCACTTTGTGAAATGGTCAGTAAGTCACTTTCACATTTAATATTTTCATGGTATTACCATTAATCCTTGTAAACATGTGCACTGTATAACAAGCTCTACACTGACATTGAAACTGCTATTGGCTCTTAGTTTGAATAAATTTGTTTAATTTGACAATTCTGTCATGCTTTATGTCTTGTTCCTGCAATTATGTGGAGGTTATCTTGAATACAATCTCTGGCTTAACTCATAACAGTAGTTAGAAAAATACAGCACAGATGAATAGATCAAAATCTTCTCTGTAATTATCATTACTCAGTATGTTAATGATACTTTAACATAATTTAACTGCAGTTGTCAGTTATTACACATCTCCAAATAGACTTTTCTATCAGCAAGATCAGAGATTACATCTATTCCTTAATCACTTGATGATGTGTGGGATGGCATTCACTGACAGCTTGGAAAGTGAAAGTCAAGTTGTTGTGTTAGTATTTTACATATGACCCTCATACACTACTCAACGATCGCTAATAAAGGGCCAAAACAGTCATGTTAAGTCATAGGTGTGATCCTTAGCAAATGTTGAAAAGTATACATTACCGTATTCGACGTAATAAGCGCTCCGCTCTAATAAGCGCCCATGGCGATATTTGCTAACATATTGACTAGTGAACAATCCCAATTAGCACCCCTTCCGATTGATCAATGTACACAAGACTTATTTATTCGCGTATAATACGCACTCGTGTGTTATATGCACCCTTAATTATGGGCAATTAAATTTTGGAAAAATATATTTGTCACACATAAACATTTCAGGCTGTCAGCATACACCACAAAATTTATCTTTCAACTCTGTTTTTTTCACCAAAATGATATCTTAATAAGAGCCCCCCTATTGCTAATTTATTACGTCGAATACAGTTAATATTATTTTACATGTCACCCTTATATACAGTCAAGTCTCATTAATCTGACACTCGTTAATCCAACAATCGACTTTATCCAACGCTTATGATGGGGACCGATTAAATCAGTGCTATTTAGACCCATTAATCTGACAGTCTCGCAATCGGACTCCGACATGCCTAATTTGCAACGAATTACCGAAATCACACATTAATCAGTCTCGTTAATCTGACACAGTGATCAGCATACTCTGTGGTCATCTGCCCGCGAGTACACAGCCTGTGTTTTAATGCGAGATGAGTCGGTTGGTAGCCGCATATTACAACAGCTGCAGAGTGTCTTGCTTAACAATAAACAATTAATGCTTTAAATAAAGAAAACAGGATTAATCACATGCTTAGTGAACCTCAATCTCATTAAAATCAGATACAAGTTCTCGCTATCGCAGAGGACATCCCAATACAGGTCACACTAACATAACTTTTTGCTAACTATGACCGACCATTGAAATGACTAACACACAGGAAGTCAATGTTAGCCACTAAAAAAGCAGCTTTCTTAAGCTTTGCGGTATCAGTTTCAAACTGGCAACTTCCATTCCAGACTTTGCTTTTTAAAGTATTTTGAATCAGTCATACAGTCCGTAACAGTTGTATTGTGTTAAACTTTAGAGGTTGCATGATTAGAAAACATATTCCGCTGACAATGTAACATAACAATTTAAATATTTGATTTTTTTAATTTCGTGTTTGTATCGTTATCTATCGTGTAGTTGTCCGATTTTCGATCATGAACATTGATACTACTAAATTTTGTTCATTCGACATACTCGTTAATCCGACATAATCATACCAACCATGTCGAGTTAACGGGACTTGACTCTACACAGGTATTTGTATTGATATACCAACTCAAAATATGATGCTTGTGTCAGGTGATGCACAAAACACCAGGGGAATTATTACCATCCTAATATTCCAGCCATGTCACAGCAGACTGTCAATACATGAATGGGCCGTGGCAAACCAGTGGTTGACAGCATGACATTTCAAGGCAGAGTCTAATGACACACCTTCAACCACGTCACACACTGGACTCACCCAATTAGTGCCGGTATGACAAGCATCTGCCTCTAAAACCCAGTGCTTTATTATTTCCATTCTATTTTGCAAATATGTTGACCTGCACTACAGACTTGTTTGAGTCCCCGTTTCGAAATATGTGATGATAAAAGTAGCTGTCCAATATAATTACATGAGCGAGAGAACATCTGTGCGACGTTGCTGGTAATGCAGATGGATAGGGTGATGTCACTTCCTTGAACCTATGGAAGTGAATGGGTGCAGGGTACTTTTCAAAATCAAATGAAAATAAAATACACTGGACAAGCATGGGGTACTCCGGGTCACAGAGTTTGAAAAACAAAGCTATTTTGGACATCAGTTGCAAGGCAATGTCCTTGGAAGGAAGATACCTCACACAGATATCCTAAAGATAGACTACTGGAATGTTATCATTAGTGTGTATTCTCTGCACTCAAATTAAAGAAAACAAAATCCACTGAAACATTTGCAAGGATCTGTAGCCAAAATAATCCAGCAAAACGTGTAATACAAGCAGTCACAGATAAGTTAAGACTGACAAAACATATCTGTGCAAGTCCAAAGCTCTTACAAGATGAAACCAGATTCAAAACATTCATTATAACTCAAACCCAGATCCGTCACCATCCCTATTTGAAATCAAAACCTTGTCAACGTAGATCAGCATTTCGTAGGGCTATCTCAACAGTGCGCATTTAACAAGTACGACTTTTTCCTACTTTGCAAACAATTCAAGTTTCCTGTACAGACACCTCAACGTGTGTGGGCTGGCTCCTTGTTCCCATTAAAACATTCTCGTCTTAATGACAGAAGGAACTGTTTAAATAAGGAGACTTGTTACACTGTACAGAAATTGATAAGTTCTAATAGCTTTTTCTCTCTGTTTAGACCAAATGGGAGGCAGTCATTTTTGCACAACTGCTAAACTAATAAACAAGCGAATATGTATGCGTAACACTATAGTACGCAGGTATTTGCCTCGAACCCAGATGATGTAACTATTCACGCTAAATAGCCATGACTAAATGGAAACTGACAGCCTGTTTTTCTCGCTTCACTTTACTGAGAGAGATGATCTCATCTGTGGAAACGAGGAAACATAGGAATGAATTGCACATATTTTGTTTTTAGAATAAATTTTTTTCTCGCAACTCTCACTTGATGATTAACCTTGTAAGATATGTATTTCTTGCACCAGTTTGCACATTGCATAAATATCGACTGTAATGCATGTCAGGGCATCCTGTATAGCTGGGGCTGGAAACAGCCTGTGAAACTCATTATGTGAAATGCAATACGTTTTCCTGAGTTTATACCAGCCCCACAGCTGTTGGCACAAGTGTGGTATAAGGGAGATAACTCTATTTGTCTTTCACTGCTTGTGCATTGCGGCTATTCATATTACAGCAGTAAAGAAAAAACAGGTTCAATTCCACTAAATTATTGGGAAAGAATTGTACAAGAAGTACCAGAATTGACAAGTTTTAATTTTTTTTAACCTTACTGTGTCCATTATTGTCAGTTCAATGATAAATATTTGACATCAGATCAATGACAGTGACTATGGTGTTTGGCCAAATATTGTAAAACCCTATCGATATCACAGTGGCCCTACCCTACTACTCTGAGATCAATGTGACTGAGATTAATCAAGACAAGGCTCTCTACCAACACAACTGATCACATACGGCCATAGACCATCAAATGAGTACATGCTGTCAAATTTGCTCGTCATTTCAGAATCAAAATGTTTCCTCCAAATGGCCAATGGAGGTGCAAATGGGACAACTGTCAATATTGCACTTACCATCTTCTCCTGTGCTGCCTTCTCACTGACCTCGGGGTCAGTGTGTGAGGGCCCAAAGAACATCGCCTGTTCCAGGTTGTAGGTGAACTCCACACAGTCAGACTGGGACAAGAAGTGGCCGAAGTGACGCAGACAGGTGATCCGGAGAAATGTCTGTCAACAAACACACAACTTAGCATAACGCCACACCAACATAACTTTGACTAGCAATGGTTGTGTATTTCCCAAAGAGTTGTATTGCAATATATTGACAGTGACTGACAGTGATTGTACATACTAGGGCTGCAACGAATACACTATGAGGCGAATACGATTCATATCACGAATATAGGGTAACGAATACGAATATTAATTCACAATTACAATAACATAACAAGTGAGCAGTTTATGTATTATTTATTATATTCAGTGAAACAATAACAACATAATTTATTTGACATGGTTTGTTAATTATTAATAAATTATACTTTTATTTACTGCACTTATCCAGGTACTAGTATCTGCTCAAATGCGACAATGACCAGTGAAAACAATACTATCAAATTAAATATTATTAGAGTGTTGTCACTGAAAGAAATCTATGCATATAATATGTTGTTGTGGATATTTTCAGGTACAGGGTATGTAAATATACATGATAGCATATTCATAAATATTCGATTCTAGTGGCCATGAATAACGAATTCAATTCATGAATGGTTACGGTTCGATTCACCGAATACGCGTGTGAATCTTAACAGCCCTAGTACATACTGATAATATTTTCAACATCTAAAGTAAATATTACGATGTCAAACTCAGCATGGTCAGTTGCCGCCATTTTGTAGTCATGGTTAGAGGGGAAATAACAATGTAAGAGCAAAATCACTTCTGCGTTTCTGCCATTTGGTCAATCAAATTGTAAGGGAAACCTCATTTGTGAATGAATTTCTGTGTAGATTTTAGGTTACATGATACTAATAATAATGAAAGTTGATATATATATTTTAACCCACTATACCAGAACACAGAAAAAATATTGCAATACATATTGTTTGAAAAGTGTATTGCAGTTTGCCATGCATCCTACACTACAAGGACCTGTTCCACAAAGCTGTCTTAGCCCTATGTTGCTTGTATGTCTGTGTTGCTGTATGGAGCTACGATCATTGATAGTGAAAAGATACTGAACTCTGTGATCCCAGGGACAATATACTTCAACAATCACTGATAGTGAAAAGATAGAGAACTCTGTGATCCCAGGAACAATATACTTCTAAGAATCATTGAGAGTGAAAAGATACTGAACTCTGTGATCCCAGGAACTAATATACTTCCATAATCATTGATAGTGAAAAGATACAGACCATGATAGCAAAATTGAAATGTGGCCCTCCTGACCAAGACCTCTCAACATCAGACATACAACTTTTTAAACATTCAAGATTGGGGTGATGGGAAGTGCTGGAATATGGGCCTATGCCAGTGACTCATTGAAATACTTGACAGTGTCCAGGAATGATCTTACCTCCTGAATCTCACTGAGCTGTCCCCTATGTTTGGAGGTGAAGTCGATAGTGGCCTGGATGTCGGCCAGGGCGGAGAAGCCGGACAGGTTGATGTCTTCTCGGAGAGGGAACAACTGAAACCAGCTTGGTGTGCTACTGTCCGTCAGCCGCATCCTCAGTTCATCAGACCATATCTGATCTGTGGAACACAAACTTACACCTACAACCATTGCATACACAACAAACACCCTGCTTCTGTCCCCTGTTCATTCTAGTTGGAGAAAAGGGGGTCTTTGGGCTCACCAGTGAAAACATAGTGCCAACGCAATGTTCCTCACTATTCACATTAGTGAGCGAGTGAGTGAGTTGGGTTTAACGCCGCTTTTAACAGTATTCCAGTTATATCGCGGCTTGTCAGCTTAATGTGGGAGGAAAGCCCCAAGTGATGCAGGTCTCAGACTTCAGTGAAACCCACAAGCACAGGTATGGTGCTGACAAACCTAGAAACATTATTGGGGCGAACCGGGATTCAAAACCACAATCATAGGTTTCTATTCACATTAGAAATGAGTCGAATGCTTTATGTTGTGAGATTTTAGGAAAGTGTGGCAGTGTAATGTGGTCTGGTTTATTTGAGAGGGCAGAATCTCAATATAATATTCTTATTCATATTAAACATGTCATAAAGTAAAAACATTTTTCCTGGGGTGGTTGAAAAGTTCTGAGCCTAACTATGGTGGACAGAGGTGAGGAAGTGAGTATGATTTTACACACTTTTAGCAACATTCCAGCAATATGAGGGCAGGGGACACGAGTAATGGGCTTCACACATTGTACCCATGTGGGGATTCAAACCCAGGCCTTCGGCATGGCAAGCAAATACTTAAACCACTAGGCTACCCCACCGCCCTGATGGACAGAGGTGATGAAGTTGGTTGCTGACTATTTTCAGCATACTCCTCTCCACGGTCCACACAGAGGATCCAAAGGACATAGAAGGCTTCCTCCTGGTGGTTCAAAAAGTCCTCCACAGCAGAAATGACGGCATCATCATTTTTATAATGCTTGCCAGACAGTTCTTTTAAGTTTGGGAAGAGGTGGAAATCTGACAGTGCCAAATCTGGTCAACTTGGAGGTGATTCAAAGAGTTCAAAGTCACAGTCATGGCAACAACAGACTTCTGCACAGGTGCATTGTCCTGATGCATCAACACACCTTCAGTGAGTTTTGCATGGCACCCAGCCCTGTTTGGTCAAGCAGTTGCTTAAGAAGATGAGCATAATATTGGCCATTAATGATCTGACTTTTCGGGAGGTAGTTCACCTGTAGGATGGGAAATACACTTAATACATGCAAACTGTTAAGTGTGTACTGAACATCCTTTGTAGTTAGGATCAGAACTTTTCAGCCACACTCTTATTTTCAATACATTCTCTGCTTTCCTAACATTGTCAACAATGGCCTAACAAAGTGCTGAAAGCATAGTGAGTGAGTGTGTATGGTTTTACGCCGCTTTTAGCAATATTCCAGCCATATCACGGCGGGGGACACCAGAAATGGGCTTCAAACATTGTACCAAAGTCGGGAATCGAACCCGGGTCTTCAGCGTGACAAGCGAACGCTGCTGATAGCATAACTGTAATGCTATTTGTCAGGGCATTTTCATTTATGAGCCTGAGGTCTGCAATTAACAGCCTGACGAAAATTGTTTCATAAACAGAAATGATATTAACTGATAGTACACTCACCATGGCTGATCAATTCCTTTTCCTGAGGCAAAAAGTTGAGCAGAACTGACAGTCTACACCATAACGACTGGGAGCTCTGAAAAAATATCAGTCTCATAATACATTATCTATTGCATGTTTATTTGTTATTTATCACCCCACTTATTTATCACCCAAGCTATATCATGTTGACCTGTAAATAATTATGTCTGGGACAAGTAAACCAGTGATTGATATTATGAGCAATGTCCCATACTGTAAGGGCAGCGTTCAGAATTAAGGTACCTCAGGTTTGACTTTGAGGTTTGCTCCCAGTTTATTTAAACTGAGGGACAACGAAAGGACCATGCTTCACCTTGTTCCACAAAGCAGTCTTTGTGCTGAGTCTTGGCGCTATTATAAATCTATGTTGTGTGTTATAAAAGTTGTAGTACTAAGATAACATTGAGGAATGAGGACCTGGTGATCTAATTACACATTTAGAACATTATTTTGCTAATCTAGTTTGCAAAAGCCCAGAGAGACGTAGAATCCAGAGCACTGTACCTGAGCACATGTGTTGATGATGGTTGAATGGCACTGCATCCAGTCACACATCACCTTGACAGTGGAAAGCAGACCCTCCGTCTGGATAACCTCGATCACCCGCTGCAGTCTCAGCCGTTCAGCCTCCGCCCTGACGCACACAATGTACAACTCACAGCATCCACAGACTGGTCTAGCCGCTTATCACAGATCATTCATTAAAGAGGTAAGGAGCTATGGGCTTTAATGTTGCGTTCAAGATTACAGCATTTACATAGCATTGTGCATGCACGTGTGTACGGCTGCTTGTACTAGTCTGTATTAGTGTTATGTTTATTGTGCTCAAGCCCACGAAGATACCATGCCACAGTTTTAACATGGATACCCAACTCAGACACAGTATAGTGACTCCAACTATTTGAGTCCTTGTTTTATCCCCTTAATGCTGAGCGCCAGGTGGGGTAACAAGAACCCGGGTCAGATGGGTACTGAGTAGGACCCGGGTACCCACAGGACTACCCGGACCTGTGGTTAGTCACGTGATATATTGTTTAATGACAAAAAATCACTATATAACTACATGGTTACATGACAATTTTAAGTCTCTAATGTTCGCATTTCTTCATGACTATGAACACGTTCCTTCTAACTTAATTATGTTTGAACAAAGCTAAAACTTCAGTCAACTGCAGTGTATGCATGACCACAGTGTTTTATACGTGTATCTAAAAACATTCTGCCAGGGCTACTGTCAAACTATTCCCAATCGGACATTTTGCACCTATCTCTTGACACCAACAGCGGATACCTGGGTAGGGTCGGGTAATAGGGGTGTTGGTACCCGGGCAGTAAATTTGGACTTGTCCCAGCCCTACCGGACACTATCCACTCGACTATGGAATCAGTTATTCAGAATAGATAAGCTTGAAGCATTGAAATGTAGTCATTAATTGTGCAATGAGCATAACTTGGAGCCAAGCACCACTTTCATTGCTTCAATACAAAATATTGAAGATACATATTGAAAGAGCGGAAATTACTAAATACTATAATTTCAATATTTCTCAAGCTTGATGTATAATTGGTATGGGGACAAAGCTAGACATATATCTAGCAAAATTTGGTGAGTGAATATCATTTTATGCTACAGGCTGTAAATAATCCCATCTGTGGCAAATAAACCAGTGGTTGATAGCATGAGCAACAATACATACTCTCAGGGTATGATGAAACACAAACAGCCAGGTCGTACATTGCAATCACAAAATCCTAACCAAAGTTGTCTCTTATGACAAGCTGGGGTTACTGGGGAGCTATTTGGGGGCACAATTAGAAAATCTTACTTGTCGTTGTAACTATCACAGGAATTGTCGTCATCTGCCTCCATCTCAGTCTCAGTGAGTCCAGATGGATCTGAAACACAATCAAGTTGATGACATCAACTCCAATGAATCAAGCTTCAATAGAATGACTACTTCTTGTGTTACTAAATAATCATTATTGCAGTCCTGACATTACAACTGACAACATGCCTACCCAATGTTACCATGGTGACTGGTGTCAAGTATAGGCTGCCGGTACACATTTTCATATTTTTTGGCTAATGGACATTTTTAGTTTATCTCATGTAGATTGTATTACTGTCCTTTTCTTGTTTTTATGTCTCACGACATAAACTCACTTGAGTTCCAGACAGGTGAGATACAAACACCAAGTGAAATGTCTTTTATTGTTTATATGTACCGAGCTTAAGGTTTCATAAAATATGATGTCCGACTATTCAGCAAGAATGCTGTACCTGTGTCTGTAGGACATGCACTGACTTCTGTGTCAGTCTCGATCTGGAAGTTGACCAGCTTGTTGGTGATGTCTGCCACATGGTGCGCCTCCATGGATGACAGGAAACCTGCAGACAGTCAACAGACATCAGTCAAATAGTCAACAGACATCAGTCAAGTAGTAAACAGACATTAGTCAGGTAGTCAATAGACATCAATCAAGCAGTCAACAGACATCAGTCAAGCAGTCAACAGACATCAGTCAAGAAGTCAACAGACAACAGTCAGGCAGTCAACAGACAACAGTCAAGCAGTCAACAGACAATTGTCAAGCAGTCAACAGACAACAGTCAAGAAGTCAACAAACAACAGTCAAGCAGTCAACAGAAAACAGTCAAGCAGTCAAGCAGTCAACAGACAACAGTCAAGAAGTCAACAGACAACAGTCAGGCAGTCAACAGATTGCAGTCAAGTAGTGATACTACTGGATAACACAGATGTCTGGATGATGCATTTACAACAAGCATGAAATACTCACATCCCCCGCCAATATGACATGTCGGGTGTGTGCAATGCATTAGCTCCTGTGAACTATGGGCCTTTTTGTAAAGAAATATAGTACGTTTTTCAAGATCTGCTCCGGAAACGAGGACTACCTCCATTTTCAGTCTAAATCAAAGTCGTTGCCATGGAAACTCGAAAAATTACTTTTAAAAAAAATCCAAAACTATCCAAAGGCACCAGTTCACCACTAGACCTATCAATGTGCAAAATATGGTGAAGAAAAATGGTACAGTTTTCAAGATCTGCTCCGGAAACGAGGACTACCTCCATTTTCAGTCTAAATCAAAGTCGTTGCCATGGAAACTCGAAAAATAACTTTTAAAAAAAATCCAAAACTATCCAAAGGCACCAGTTCACCACTAGATCTATCTATGTGCCAAGTTTGGTGAAGAAATATGGTACGGTTTTCAAGATCTGCTCCGGAAAAGAAATGTGACGGAAGGACGGCCGGATGCCCCACCGATGTCCTTCTCACCCTAATTCGGGACTCATTATTTGTACATTCCTTCTCCTTTGTCAAATAATAAAAACACAACACGTGTTTATTTTACCTTTTATTCAACTGTTTCATTTTCCCTATCACCAGTATGACACTTACAACATACTATGTCGAACAACTCATATTCATTATGTTTACCAAGGATACAATTTCACATCCTTGCCTAAAAATAGCTTTGCTAAAAATAACTGTGTCGCTTAGAACAAATCAGTGTTCTACTAACTACCCTCACAACCAAATAGGCGTCTGATAAAAAACCGGCGAGCCACCGGTCACTTTTTCACAAACCGGCGACCACTTACTACCGCCACCGGCGACCTACCCAGGCCACCTTAATTTACCCGGCAATAACACCGGCGACCTAAACAACAATTTGGTACGACAAGCATACTTAAACCGGCGACCCACCGGTCTATAAACACATTATACAGTTACAAAGCCACATACAACCACCGGCGACCACTATTCGCGGGAGCACTAGTAAATCGCCAATACCGGCGACTACATTTTACGCCACACCACCGGCGACCCACTAACGGCGTGTCACTATAACACACCGCTTATCCGTCATAACAACCAATAACAGGCTTACACATCATGGAATTAACGACCCCGCCGGTATATTCAGGTATTTAAGGACACGCCCCTAAGCAATCAGTCTGATGAGCGCAAGCCGCGAGAAACTAGTAACAATTACTATTGCTTCCAATAGCTACATATTTACTGGTGAAGCCCCCAACAAGTTTTGTATCGAATCACTAACTTTCCACTCTCTGAGCAGATGCTCTAACCACTAGACCATGAAAGCGACTGACTTTACTATCAAAATATGAATTGTATCTTTGATAAGTGTATCAAGAAAACTCTGATATATTCGAAGTAGCAGAGACAGAAATGTCAACCACAATGCTCAACCTACCTGGTGGAACTGGAACATCCTTCTTGCCTTGTATGACATCCTTACAGTTCTCGTAGGCTGCAATGTCTGCCTGGTACTGTTTGGTGTTGAGTAGGTCCAGATTGAGGTCCTGCCCCAGGAAGGTCATGGACGAGGAGAACAACTCAGACGACAATGTCACCAGATTCTGATTTCCCATCAGATCCGACCAATTGCCATTCTCTTGAGCCATTTTCACAGACGACCCTGAACTCAATCGTAACTTGGATTGATTGTTGCCATGTGATGATGCAAAGCCGGTTTTGAGCTCCTGACTTTCCATCAAGGAATCAGAGAGATCTGAGTCGGAATCATTGTCAAAGTATGTGACTAGATCATCATCAGAATCTTCAGAGACAATATCCTCTTCTATGTGCTCACCACCTGTCGACGACAGAGAGATTGATATCGATGGATGCTAAATCTAACGTGTCACTGAGGTTTTTTTAAGCAGAACACTTATCAAATTCTATTTGACTATTTTGTGGGCATTATAATTCTTTTTATTACTCCCATCTATACCACTGGAAAAACAACAAGCTCATTTATACAAAGAGTTTAATACCAATGTGCTGGCTGATGCACTGCAAGAACTAGTGTCACTAACAGATATTGAAAACCCGCTGATGTATCTTGCAACAAAATTTAAAATATTATGTCATAGGGTATTGTGATGTGTTTGTAAACTTTGTGGTGCAGGGCCCCATTCCATAAAGTAATAGTACGACAGATACCAAAACTATTCACTCATTCCATACAATTGCTATTACGCAGGAACACGCTTAGTATTCTATATATCTAAATGCACAGTGGCTTAGATGCATGAGTGAGTGGTGTTTTACGCCGCTTTCAGCAGTATTCCCGCAATATCACAGCAGGGAACACCAGAAATCAAACATTATTGAGTTGCTTCCTGCCTTGAGCATGCCCAGTTTGATTTTCTTGCCAAGAAAAGGGTTATCCTCACAACTATTAGATATGTTAGCAGTGAAGATGAAGTCTGTTGAAAATCTAAAGACTTGATAGTGTGATTTGCAGCCCAAAAAAGAAATGGCTATGATGTAACAGAGGTAGGGTATTTGACGGAATCATGGCCTTCACATATTGTACCCATGTGGGGAATAGAACAGTCTTCGGCGTGATGAGTGAACTTGAACCACTGGCTGCCCCACAGCTTTGGTGAGTGCATGAATGTTGGTTTTGGATGCATTTGTATCTTTTCCAAATATTTCCAATCATTCAGTGCTTACATTACAAATCAAATCAGTGTTTCTCCTAAAGAAATTGTGCACAAAACAACACAAAAGAAGTAAAATTGTCAACACTCAGAAACTTCATGATTGACACTAATGCTCACCTTCACTGAGATCAGAATCTTCAGACAAGTCTGACATGTCACTACTATCGCTATGGTGACGTCGTCTACGTCGCCGCAAGTTGCGGAGTCGTGATTGCTTCTGTTTCTGAAATCAGAAGATTTTCCTTCTTTTATAAATATGAGACAATAATGTTTGCAAAAAAGCATTGTCTAACAGTTTTTGGTTTATGTTAGTAACGGCATGACACAGGAACCATTCTGTACTGTTGGCACTTGTCAGAGTGTTCTTTGCGTACCTAATAATGTACACATTAATTCTATGAAATATTCTAAACTGTGCATATGGACAGCGTGTGTGGTTGCACTTAGATTTTCACAGTACTTGCCTGCTCATGATGCATATACATGTAAGATTCATAGGACCATATAAATATACCGGCAGTCCTCCATAACACTGATCTGTAAGAACTCATACCTTTGGTTTATTGCCTTCGTCCTGAGTCAGCATATTGCTTTTGTCGACACTGTTGTTCCTGTGGTCAGCATCATGACTGGACATTTCATCCCGCTCCGTGTCCGAGGTGGACGAGTAGTTGTGGTCATCATGGGGGAGAGCTGTAGGGACAGTAGTGATCACACAGTTACATTGGGTGTCTAACATTACATCACGATTATTGTACTTATGCATGTTCGTGTGCAACTGCTTGTTCTAGTCCAGACTTAAGCCTGTTTTCTAGTGCTCGCCACTGATATACCATTACAAAGATACATGTTATTGTGTTCTTGTAATTGGTACAGTAAGAAAGTAAGGGGGAAGTTGGTCTGCATTCTCAAACCAATCTGACCATACTATCAAAACATAAAATCATATGGGAAACAGGAAGTTCGTCAAATTTCTAGACTCTTGTAACATGTGAAATGGCCATGTCCACACTGATGGCAGGGTTGGTTGGTTGGTTTGTTGTTTAACGCCGCACTCAGCAATATTCCAGCTCTATGATGGCGGTCTGTAAATAATCGAGTCTGGACCAGACAATCCAGTGATAAATTTCATGAGCATCGATCCACGCAATTGAGATACAATGACATGCATGAACGAAGTCAGTAAGCCTGACCACCCGATCTCATTAGTCGCCTCTTAACGACAAGCAAAGTCACCTTTTACGGCAAGCATGGGTTGCTGAAGACCTATTCTACCCCGAATCTTCACGGGCCCTGATGGCAGGGATGTTACCAGGGATAAAATCAAGGTGTCACGTGCTGAGAAGGAGCTTGAGCATTCCTACACAAAGTGAAATTACTCTGTTCCTGCAAATCCTTTGTTTTGAAATTTAGAACAGTACAATCCAAATTAACAGGGATTCATGTGCAATCATCTGTTTACACCAAGAGCCATGTTAGAATTGGTCCTAAACAATGTATTGTTTGTTAAAAGATGAAATTGAAATACAATCCAGATTAACAGGGATTCGTTTGTAATCATCTAGGGTTGAAAAGGGGATGAGCAATGGCTGCTGGAGCTTAGCAGGGGAGGAGAGTGGAATGGGGGATGAATGTTTTATCTATACATGCTCTGGGGCTAAAACAAGGACTGGTCGACTCGGAGTCAATATACTGTGTCTGAGTGGGGTATTTATGTTAAATTGCAGCATGGTATCTCAGTGAGCTAGCACTATAAATCGGCATCAGTCCGGACTAGTACAAGCAGCCACACACACACATACACGTGAATGCACATCGCTATAAAAGTGCAATAATCTTGGACGCGACGTTAAACCCAATTTCACCTCACCTCATTATTTACAGGCCACAGGGTTATCCCTGACAGTGGAGTGAAACAACATTGCCTTTATCGTCATCTGTTCACAGTACCTGTTTGGACTGATCTACAATCATCATTTCAACTCCCACACACAAAACACAGCGCTGAATAGAGACAACTACCTACCTGCTATAGACTTGTGTGACTCTAACAGCTTATTTGGGTGTTCTTTCTCATACAGCGCCCCCTGTAGTCTGTTGGTCACATGGTTCAGTATGTGCGAGAACAGCGCAAGAAGAAAGGCAATGGCGGCTGTCAATTGAGGTGAGCCTATATGAGGAGATGACACAATGTACTCAGTCTGAATCAAATAACATACTTGTCAGTTTCATAGCCACACACTTCGGCCAGCCTAAAAGTATGTGCACAGACTTTCTTTGTCTGTATTGAGATTACTTCTCATGGACTGCTCTTTCCGCAGATACTGTACTGTTTGGGGTTTTCAACATTGGTCTTCAAGTACAAGGCAAGGGAGGATCCAGCATTCGTACAGGAAGCGATCCAAATATTACTATAATTCACTCAGATACTTTAATTGCCCACAACATACTACATTTGAAAAGGTGGGGGGAGGGCAGCCCCCCTGGACCCCCCTTTGCATCCGCCTATGTAAGGGGTAACTGATAGTTAAAAACGCAGGAAAGTTTGACTTTTCTACAAATGTCTATACAGTCAGCATTTTAGTGGTTCTTATTTTGGGGTGGTGGGGCTGTGGTGGTTTGATTTATGCACATTTCCAAGAGCTTTCCATATATCTATAACACATGGTATGGTTTCCAAAAGAGGTTATGTGACCAGACCCAAAAGCATAATGGTCAGAAATATGTTTAACTCAGTTTGAACGTTCAGAACATACATATACATATTCCATATACACAAACTGAATATTGAAACTATTATTTCTACTTCGTGATTAATAACAAGAACACAGAACTGACCAATCAACTGTGAAAGAAATCATGACACTATTATCCTAGTATAATAACAAAATAACATATTGTATATACAAAGCACTTGACTTCAAACTTGGACTGCAGCTCAGCAGCACAACACATTATTATTACACCCGTCAATGCACTCAAATTTTATTCTCAACTCCCTTGGGGAGTATACAACCCATACTGCCTTTGAGTTCAACAGTGACATTACCATCTCTTTCTACCGGCTACCCATTGACTGCTTGGTGAACAGAGGCATATTTTGAACAGTCACGAAGGAGACACCAAACCAAGCTGCTTCAGTAAGGGGCAGGACCTAAGCCCTAGAAACTCTCAGGAATCAAGTTTACCGTTCAGGGTCACCCATTGACTTATTCTCAATGACCAAACCTGAATCACTGTGACGTGTGGGTTGCACACAAGACCACTTCCTAACACTATTTGTTAATATTAATGCAACTACCATCTGGACTGAGAAGACTCCAATACTTGACACAGGAAGACAGTTAAACTTCTGTTGATGCAGGCATGGAGCAGACAGGCTGGCGACCATGGTAACCATTCAATGTGGCTGACCATTGACAATCATCATCAGTGACCGTCAACACGACCACAATAGTACAGGGTGTACTGGGTGCCTTTTTCGTCATAAGCATGATAGGAGGACCTTTAGAGAGTACCAGTCAACTTCTTGGGAGGGCAATCTCTGCTGTAGGTCTCATGTCACTAAAAAAAGGTACCAGGTTTTGTGAAAATCCACTCAGACTCGAACTCGCAAAATTCGGAGTGTTAGCCCGACAAGCTAACTGACTGAGCTACGACCACACACTTTAACGTAGTGCAAATTTACCCAACAAACAAACCAACTGAACTACGCACTGTCTAGTGCAAATTTACCCAAGAAACTAACCAACTGAGCTACGACCACACTGATAATATGAGTGCAAATATTCCTGACTTGAGCTACGACCAGACAGTTTAGCTTAGTGCCACATTTACCTTACAAACTAATTGACTGAGCTTTGACCACAATGCTAAGCTTAGTGCAAATTTACCAGACAATCCAACTGACAGAGCTACGTCCAAACTGTTTAACTAAGTACAAATTTACCTGACAAACTAACGAACTGAACTACGACTACACTGTTAGACTGAAGGCAAATGTACCTGACAAGCAAACCGACTGAGATACGTCCACACTGTTAACCTAAGAGGAAATTACCTAGTCATGCCTATGCAATATCAAAGAAATCAACTCAAAGCTGTTCACCATGTTTACCTGATTCAAAAACATTCCTCAGCAGAGTTACTATGTTGACACACTTACATTTCCTCTGCAGGAGATGGATGGTGCTGAGACACATGATGACGATCTTGAAGACAATGTCATCATCCAGGTAATGGGGGTCGTCTATGGCAGGGTCAGCTTTCGCGTAGTTCTCTGCCATTGAGCTGGGTTCATAGAACATGCATAGGTTGAAGTCGTGAAGCGTGGCCTGACATGCAGACTGCATCAAAGTTGTGTCGTTGCTGGAACATAGACAGGGATGAGGTATATTCAATGTTCAACTGCTGTTTCTGACAACAGTTCTACTCCTAAGCCCAAATATTGTTTGTTTGTTTGCTGTTATATGACGGCGGTCTGTAAATAATCGAGTCTGGACCAGACAATCCAGTGATTGATATTATGAGCATCGATCCATGCAATTGATATACAATGAAATACATCAACCAAGTCAGCGAGCCTGACCACCCAATCCTGTTAGTCCCTTCCTACGACAAGCAACATTCGCCTTTTAAGGCAAGGATGGGTTGTTGAAGACCTATTCTACCCTGGATCTTCATGGGTCCCTAAGCCATAGAAAAAAGAAAAACAAATTCACATCAGACAGGTCATTCGTCATATTCTTTCAGGCAGTAAATTCTAAAGTTACTTTAAGTAGCATTGGTGGCATAATTCAGCCACGGAAATAATGGCAGAGTGTGATACTATATAAACAAGATAAATACTGGAGGGGTCTATCATCACGCTTTGTTCAGACCAAGCAAATCATACAGGTCTGAACCATCAACAATATTCCAGCTTTATCATGGCTGCTGTGAGTATAGGCACACCAGTGGTTGACGGCATGAAAAACCATCCATGCTGTCAAGTACATTGACAGAATACACCAGGATCCCAAGCTGTGTGTGAGTGAGTGAGTGAGTGAGTGAGGCCACTATGAACAGTATTTGGTTCTATCACAAATTTTTTATGTAAAGGATAAAAAAGAGGTCTTGACTGAGAATGTCAAGGAGGAGGTCTTATCCAACTTATAAACTGTCTAAATTCTAGAAATTCCTGAAGGAATAAGAAGACATTGTGATACCTTATTGTGAAACAATAGTGTATTGCGGTGTAAAAGGAAATTGAAGAAAGCGTGTGAGAGAAAGACCATGTGCAGTGGGAAAACAAAGGGTTACAAAACAAACCACAATATGTGCAGTTGCAGGTTTGATTCACATCATGGAATGTTCATGCGAGAATTGTGACTTTTAACCAATCAAAAATCAACATTATATTCATATTAAGGGGACAGTTTATAAAATTCAACTGTAAACCCTTGGTCCTACAATTCAGTTAAAGCTAGGGCATTTTCTTTCCGAATGCCTGGGGCATTCTCGTGGAATCCCCAGGGTTTGCTGGTCAATGAATACATTCTCAGTTTATCAACATGTTAAAGAACCTACTCACACAGTGAGACGAAAGCCTGACATGATGCAGGTTAAAGATATTAACAACTTTGGTGAAACCCATGACTACAGGTACTGACAAACTTAGAAGCCTAATCAGTACGAAACGGTGATGAAGGAACGGAACACATCCAGGCATGTAATTGCTACTGGCTAGCAAGCTGGGTGCACTCACCTCTTCTCTGTATCATACAAGACATCCAGCAGGTACAGGAAGCGGACAAAGAACTGCCGGATGTTTTGTGGTCTGGAAGTAGTAATAAATTTCTCTTTAAAAACTATTACTTGAATGTGACAATTTGATAACTTCTTATAAAGACGAATGAACATAGAGGACATACAAATAACCATGACACTAACAAGACATTGAAAAGTAAATAATGTTATGAAGTTGTTTTCTGTCTGCAATATTCCAGCTGTGTCACTGTCATGGCAGTCTGTAATCAAATCAGTGGTTGATAGCATGAGCAATGTATAATGACATGTGTCACAATCAGCCAGGTCACATACCGGTACATTTTCCTGAGGCAAGGGCATTAACTGACTAATAAAAGTCTAGTTTCCACCCTTGACCAACTTGGCTCGAATTATGGAGTTACAATTTGGCTGGACTAATGAGTGTATGCATAGTCCAATCAAAATCGAGTAATGAACTAGACATCCAGTTCTTAAACAACATGGACTTCAACGCGCAGGTTTTGGTCGACTGAAGGATTTGCAAAGCACGTGTACCGCCAACTAGGCGTTGACAGATGTTGTGCACATCTTTTCATGTTTTTTAAACAAGGTGCTCAAGTGATTTGATACAATTCGCCACTAGATTGATCTGTATAGCAAGTTTCAACAAGAAATATTCAACGGTTTAGGAGTTCTGCCCCAGAAACGGAAAATGGACATCAGACGGGACACGTTGATCGCTGTATATCCCCATTTTTCAAACTGAGAGGACACCAACAAGTTCTATCTTTTATGGTCTTTTGGTATTAAATGGCTGGGGATCGAACCATCAACCTTCGACTCTCCACACAAGACCACGGAGGCGGTCATTTGTCTGGCAACAGGCCTAAATGGTAGGCTGCATAACTCACTGTTGTTTGTCTGGTGTGAGGTCACGGTGCTGCTGCTGAATCTGCCCCAGTTCCAGGTACCTCTTGTGGTTCTTCTCAAACAGTCGCTGCAAGTTACCATGGGCTCCTTCAAACGACTTCTCTGTCGACATACTGTCACAGATATTGAAAGCACTGCATATATCTGATTTCATTTACATTTAACAAAATTGGTAGTAACAGCAACATGTACACATTATCTAATTAACATATCCTTCAAAATAGAGAGTATCCTTTAAGACACTGGCTAACCTTTTGGAAATAGTGTTTAAATCAAAAACTGGTTTTGCATTTTGTTAATAGTTTAACATGTCTGAACAAGTTCCAATAATGTATTATATTAAATAGAACTGAACAATATTACAAGTTTACTGCAATATACTTATCAAACAATACATTGCAATATTTTCACGAAAGACTTTTCCCTTTAAAATTGAATGACCAAGCAAGGGAAACACAATACAAATTTTGACCTATTCTGTCCATAGGTTCACTACAGAGTACCTACCATCTAATATAATGATAGGCAGCCTCACAGCTGTAGTAGCGGGAAGCAGACAAAGTCCCCAGCTGGTTGTGGGGCATACCTGCAAATAACACAACCTTTCATCACTGGACTGTTATGTTATGGATAAGGTATGACAGTCTTGATTCATAAACATCCTGCGATTCCTAGTCATATCACGTTCATCCACTGAAACATGGAGTGAGTGAGTGAGTGAGTATGGTTTTACGCCGTTTTTAGCAATATTCCAGCAATATCACGGCGGGGGACACCAGAAATGGGCTTCACACATTGTACCCATGTCAGGAATCGAATACGGGTCTTCGGGTGTGACGAGCGAAGGCTTTAACCACTAGGCTACCCGATCGCCCCTGAAACATGGAGAATCTCACCCGAGCATCTTTTGATGTTAATAATATCAACAGTTAATTCCTGGCTTCCAGTTGCCAATTCTGTCACCTATCAGCGCTAATTAACTTTTAAGTGTTGGCTTCCGTTTGTCCATTGCTTATGACCTATTACATATTTGATATCAAAAGACACTTAATTGAGTCGCTCCAATATCATTCTTCCAATTTTTTCAGTTTGTAAACAATTAAACAGTCTTGGGTGTTTAAAGTACAGCTAACCAGCTTCAAGTGACAGAGAGACTAGTGATGTCATTTGATTGTGATGTCATGGTAACTGATGTCACAATGACCTGAAATGCAATGTTGCTTGAGATATGCTTAATCTCATCCAAGACTGACCACCCGATCAAACTTGGTCGCCTCTGTGACAAGCATGTGTTGTGGGAACCTATTCTGAGCTGGTCCATGTGGGGGGGGATATGGGAGTGAATAATGCTGGGGGTACATGTACTTGCCAATATCAGGAAACAACATGATCGCTTGGTAGTAGTATCTCTCCGCTGTGGCGCCACTCACGCCATGATCAAAGTCCTGTTGATATCGGGCTGAAAGTACAACATTTAGAGATTTAGAACATTTTTTTTTTGATTGGCAGGTAATCCCAAATGTCCTCTGGCCACAAAAACTATCAAATTATATTGTTTGTGTTTCTAAGCAGAAATAGGCAGGGATTACTTTGACAGGAAGTGTTTTCATAGACAGTGAGTTAGTTGTTTTTAATACTCCTTTGGACAGTTTTTCAGTGAATATGTGCAATGTCAGCTGAATGTAGGGTCAAAAGGTTTCTTTGCCTCCAATATTGACATACTGTGTCGAAGTCTTTTAGCCATGACTTGTTAATATCCATATATTGTTGATCTGGATGATTTCAGTAGGAGCGCTGTTCATTATCACAGATTATAACTTACCAATGTCTCCAAGACAAATGAGACATCTGTGGCAGGCTCTCTGCGCCCACTCAATCACGGACTGTGGTGTCTTCTTGCTGCTACTGCTGCTGCTGCTGCTACTACTGCTGTGCTTCTTTACTGGAATACAGAGTGATGTTAGTTGACAGATGGTTTACCTCACATGCTTGTTTGCTAGCCTCTAGTTTTACTCTGCAGTCAACCATATCTCAGCCGTAACAAAATGGCCTGTAAATAATCAAGTCTGGATCAGACATACCAATGATTGATGTTATCAGAAATGATCCACCCCTTTGTGGTACGATAACAACCAAGTCCCTTCCATTTAAAGGCCTTGACTCTCAATTTCAGCCAATCGCATGCTTGATTATTTGAGGTGGTGGGTGAGGTGAAATGGGGTTAAACGTCACGTCCAAGATATATTGCACTTATATAGCTACGTGCATGCATGTGTATGTGTGTGTGTGTGGCTGCTTGTACTAGTCCGGACTGATGCAGATTGATAGTGCTAGCACACTGAGATACCATGCCGCAGTTTAACATGATTACCCCACTCAGACACAGTATACTGACTCCCAGCCGACCAGTCCTTGTTTTAGCCCCTTAATGCTGAGCGCCAGACAGGGCAACAACAAGTACCATCTTTCAACGTCTTTTGGTATGACGCGGCTGGGGATCGAACCCCGGAGATTCCGCTCTCCGAGCAGACGCTCTACCACTAGACCACGGAGGCAGTCTTGATTATTTGAGTCAGTTTCATGAGGAATGTGATTTTCTCAGCCATAACAAATGATCAAGTTTAGATCAGACACACCAATGATTGATATTATCAGCAATGATCCACCCTCTTCTTGTACGATAACAACCAAGTCACTTCCAGTTTAAGGCCTTGACCCTCAATTTCAGCCAATCTCATGCTTGATTATTTGAGTCAGTTTCATGAGGAAGAAACAAGAAAAACAAGAAAACGGCATTACCACTATCACTCGCCTTGGGGCACATTAGAATTTTGTTTGTTCATATAGTAGTGAATAAAAACTATAAAAAAGAGTCCTATAAAGCCTTTTAAGAAGAGAAAGGTACTTGGACCGCTTCACTTCAAAAAGAAAATTGATTAAATGTGAAATTAGTACACAAAAGGCCCCTTCTCTTGAAAATATAACTCAGTCTTGATAATTATCTCTTAGATAAGCTAATTAACAGAAGTTTCTGAGAAAACTTGTCCCCATTGCTTACTATGCACTAACTAAAATAACATCGATCAAGGGCCACAACTCTGTAAAAACATCATTTACAGGAACAATTTTCGAACTCAGTCTTGACAAGTATTACACTTAGATAAGCATGCAAACTATCATTCATGTAACATGTGTAACTTCAGCAGAGAAAACTTGTCCGTATTTCACACACTATGCACTAAGTTGAAAAGCATAGAGCAAAGGCCATAAATCTGTGGAAATGAATTTATGACCCCAATTTTTGAACTCATTTGAGATCAAGTCCAGGGAGATCAGTTTGCAAAATTTAATTTCTCTGACTTAAATAGTTTTTGAGAAAATCTGTCCCCTTTGAGAAACAGATGATTAGATGGATGAACTCTGTTCCTATATTCCAGTCCCTCATTTCTGTTGTCTCCCCAGCTTACCACGATCTTGATGATTGGCAATATCAGACAATAAGTTAACATTTCGTTTTCATACAAGGTTTCATAAAAACGCTTACTGACATATTTGCAATAAATAAAATAAATAAACCCAGTATAATGTCAACATCCTGCTAACCTGGGACAGTTTCAAGGCCACCTGCTGATGAGACTGTTGAGTTAGAAAACTTGGCCAACCTGTCAATGTACTCCCAGTCCCCATTCATGTCAAACATTGCAGGCCCAACAAGTGGCATAATGTCACGGGGAATATTCAACTACTGTAATTTGTCAATATTGTCGTAAGTATACATAACAATCAACAGCCTCAATAGTTGTAAATAGTCATAAATAAAACATAAATAATTGCCACATGTTGGCAATGAGGAAGAGAATAATGTGGCAGGGGTAGTCAGGTGATCAACCTGGGTAAGGTTACAGCCCATGGTATTACAGAGCATGACCCATTGTTTGGGTGGTGACAATGGTGATGCTGAGAATGTTTGTAGAAGCTGGAAACTATAGGATGTTTCCACACAAGGATCAAAAGGAGAAAGAAAAAATGCATAGTGTGCGATAGGGTAAGTTTAAAAATTATATTTCAAACCTGCCATGTGCTGATTAGCAAGGATTATGACAGATTCAGATTAGAGTTACTTCCCTTTGAGTTGTGACTGGGAGGAAAATGTCCGTCTTTGAGATTGTCAGTTATATTTTATTCATTTCTATTACATTGGTTTATATAAATATCAAGCCTTAAAGCTGATCTACTACTGTCACAATACAATTGCAATAGTTGACAACTATTACAATACTATTGTAGAAGTATGGGCTACTAATGCCATAGAATCGCAAAGGTGAATATAGCCCCAGCAGCAAGAGTGGATTCAGCATTTTTAAATGGGAGGGGTCCAAAATATCAAAATCTTCCCTCAGATAATTTTACTGTCTACAACATACTACACCTTATTTTTTAAAATGGGGGGTTGGTAGTGGGTGGGGAGAGACCGGATCCCCTGGATCCCCCTCTGGATCCGCCTATGAATAGCCATCCCTACTGTGGTTGTAGCAGATAACCATATTACCTGGTTTGGGATCTGCAACAAGATGAAAGTCGAGAATGCCGGACAACTTGAGGCCAAACTCCTGCTGCAGCCTGAACAGCAGATGCTGGTAGTATCCAGTGGCGGAGGCCAGGTGTGTCCGGTAGGCTGTCTCCAGGGACCCGTGGGGACGCACATGCTGTGTACATACAAACACAGATAACAAGCCTGAAAACAATGTATAGTGAAGGCAGAGTCATGCTGTTATACACTTAATGATACTTGTATCAAAACCATTTGCATAAATATAATGAAGGTATATTTAAGAGAAAAACAATGTTTTAAATATAGAGCAAGGCTAACTGTAGATTAACTGCACTAAACTGAATTTGGAATGGAACTTAGAAAAGACATCACAGTCCCCTATAGAAAAGAGCCGAAGTTCAAGATCTCTGGTCCCTAAAACTTGACATACACTTCCTTAGGTGATGACTATCATGTTTTCTGCCAAAAATGAATTGCCAAACATACATTGAATAGTATATGCATGTCTGCATTTCATAACCTGCAATTTTACACACAATTATTAAAAAATGAATAATGACAATGACAGACAAAGAAGTACTGTTCCAATAATATTACCGGTAGCTTCCTCAAAATGTGTCAGTCTACTCATTGTTATTGTCATTTGTACATCTAAATTTCCAAATTCAAGGTAGAATGATTCTTATTCAATACTTTCATATTTTTTTCATAAAGATAAGTCTTTACCTTTTTTTAACCAAACATTCATTTAGTCATAAACAGTCAATGGCATAGCAGGGTAAACATGGTAATACACATGACATAGAAAGTATTCACTTTAAAAAAGTCAATGAATGTCTTAAAACTGACATGAATTTTTATGTTTTCTTGATGTATGTGTCACACATGTACGGTATCAGTATTTTAGAATTTCCAGTACCAAAACAGTACTGCCTGAATCACAAATTGTATGACGAGCTGGCCAAGCGTGATGGTCACACTTATAAATTGTTCCATGTAAATTTGAAGTGAATTCTTGTTTCAGGAGCAAAGCTGAAAGAGAGAGAGAGTGTGACTGAGTAAAGATTTAACGTCGCATCAGCAACATCTCAGCCACATAGCGACCAAAGTTGAAAATAAATTGTCACTAACCTTCCTGTTGTGTTTGACAACCTGGATGATGTCATAGAACACCTTCCTCCATAGAACCTCCTCTGCTTTGCGGCCATAGTCACTGGGGTTGTAGAACATCAACCTCTCACAATACTCCTTGAGTCTGTAACAGAGTATTAGTGGTTTAACAAACAACATCAGGGGTTAATACCGTATTCGATGTGATAAGCGCCCAGGGTGCTCTCAAAATTTGAAATATGGGGGCTCTTATTAGAATAATATTTTGGTGGAAAAAAACAGAGTTGAAAGATAAATTTCATTGTTTATGCTGACAGCCTGAAATGTTTATATACGACAGATATATTTGTCCAGAATTTAATTGCCCATATTTAAGGTGCATATAACACACGAGTGCGTATTATACGCGAATAAATAAGTCTTGTGATTGTTCACTAGCCAATATATTAGCAAATATCGCTGTGGGTGCTTATTAGAGCAGGGCGCTTATTACGTCGAATACGTTACACAGAATCGGAGGATTAAGACACAGGTCATCAGGGTCATCACACATAGTATCATGGGTTTAACACATACAGATGTTAGAAAGCTGGAATATTACTGACAAACAAACAATAAAAAAACATACAGGTTTATTGGTTTGACACATACAATATGAGAAGGTATTTTACACACACAGGATTAAGGGTTTAATAGAGAGTAAGTGGATTAAAATTTATAGGATGAGAGTATTTTATGACTGGATTATGGGGAGAGTCAATGAATAGTAGTGAGAGAGCTTGGTTGTATTGCCACTTGGAACAGTATTTCAGTTATATGTTTAAGGCTCGTATCAGCTTATGTATGGATGAAAATATGCACGATACGGTGGGGGATAACTTAAAACGCATCAGAAATGCATCACAGCATTCATGTATGGTCTAACATTCATTAACAGACGTAAATGAGTGAGTGAGTGAGTGAGTGAGTTGGGTTTAACACCGCTTTTAACAGTATTCCAGTTATATCACAGCGTGTCAGCTTAATGTGTGAGGAAAGCCCGAAGTGATGCAGGTTTCAGATGTTTACCACTTTGGTGAAACCCACAAGCACGGGTATGGTGCTGACAAACCTAGAAACATAATCGGGTCGAACTGGGATTCGAACCAACAATCATAGGTTTCTGGCGTGTCCAAGGGACGCAACTCTGCACAGCGAATCGCGGCGCCTTAGACAACTGGGCATCCCGTGTCCCCAGACGTAAATGAACCATGGTATCGATACATTTACTTGGATATGGTACATGTCTTGATACTTTGTAACCTTTACTTGTCCACACACAAAATCAGTTTTTTAACACACTCAATGCCTCCAAAATGTATTTACCATACTACATCAGTAATTCCTGTGTTACCGTATTCAACATAATAAGCGCCCAGGGCGTTCTTAAAATTAGGAATAGGGGGTTCTCATTAGAATATAATTTTGGTGAAAAAAACAGGGTTAAAAGATCACAAATTTCGTTGATTATGTGGACAGCCTGAATGATATAAAAGAAAAGTCTATGCGTTTTATACACGACAAACATATTTTTCCAGAATTTAATTGCCCGTAATTAAGGGTGCATATAACACACGAGTGTGTATTATACATGAATAAATCAGTCTTGTGCACATTGATCAATCGGAAGGGGTACAAATTGGGATTGTTCACCAGCCAATATATTAGCAAATATCACCATGGGCGCTTATTAGAGCCGGGCGCTTATTACGTCGAATACGTCATGTGCAATTTGTCATACTTTCATGGGCTTGATGTCATCAAACTGTGAGTACTTCACGATTATGTGCACATTGCTATTACTTTCTACAGCAATGTGTCATCAATTTATGTGATGCTGGCAACAGACCATACTATGTTTCAACTTTCATAAATTGATGGGACCAGGGTGCAACCTGGTTTTGTTCGGTGCAACTTGGTTTTCATGCCAACATGCACGTTGTGCAAGTTAAATCAAGTTCCTTAAATCGAGCCCTGATTATAGGATTATGAATTGGCAACATTTGGCCTGTGGAGGAAACACTTCCATCATCAAAAGAAATAATGGAAACCCAAATAAAACATACTTGAGTTCACACATTAGCATGATTAGTGGCTTGCAGCCTCATGTACACGCAAATAGAAAATAGTGTTTAAAAATGCATGTTTATAACATTTAACACTACAGCCATATACTTAGAAACAGTATGCTGACCGACCTGCCCAGTTCTTGTTTTATCACCTTTTGCCCAACTCCAGGCAGGGAAACAACAAATATCAACTTATAACGTCTTTTTGAATGACGTGGCCAGGGATCGAAACCACAATGTTTTGCTCTCTGGGCAGATGCACTATCCATTAGACCATGGAGGTGGTAAATATCACACGAAAGGATTATCAATGTTTCATCAGTGCTCAATATTTCTTTGTTTTGCCTCTTTGCGTTTGTTTGTTTACACACTAATCAACATGCTCAACAATATTCCAGGGATATTATGTCAGCCTGTAAATAATCGAGACTGGACCAGAAAACACAGTAATTTATATCATGAGTCAGACCACCCAATCCATTAAGTCACCTCGTACGACAAACATCGGTTTCTGACCAGAAATCCTAACCAGGAATCTCCACTGGGTAATATTGCCTTATATCAACATAATGATCAAGTACTGACTTATTTCTGAGTCCAACAGCATCTTGCAAGAATACATCTCTGTATGCTTTCTTCTGTTTGCTTATCTCATCCAGACGACGAATCGCATCCAGAGCAGCTCTACAAACAAAACAATAGTATGTTATTATCACATTGTTCATCAAATGTACAACAAAGAGAAGATTATTTAGACCAACACACTGGTATGGTCATAACTTATGACTACTTATGGGATTCAACAGCAATTGTAATGTAAGTAAAATATGTGATATTTTACAGTTGAAAATAAATAATAATGTGAGTGATGTGAAATAATGAAAGACAGGAAGTGTGAACTCAATTATAATGGGCCTGTTAACATTAAGTGAGGTGAACGTTGCGTCCAAGGTTATTGCACTTATATAGCGTAATGCATGCATGTGTCTGTGTGGCTACTTGTACTAGTCCGGACTGATTGCCGATTTATAGTGCTAGCCCACTGAGATACCATGCCACAGGTTAACATGAATACACCACTATATTGTTGATATAAATGCGATGTTTAATAAATATAATGTAAGCCAAGACCACTCGCATTTTTCTTATTTAAATCATGCTCGCATTAATTTCAAGATTTACAGTATTGAGGAAGCATTCCAGTTCAAAATGATGAAATAAAGTGTCTTGGGATGCAGGTCTTAGATTATGTAGATGTTTTTACCAGTTTGGTAAAACTCATGAATATGGGTATTGTGGTGAAAAACCTAGAAACTATCACCTAGCTTATCTGGGGTGATGGTAGTGAGAATTGACAAACAAATATTTTACATGCTAGTCAAATGAATTACTCCTAATGAGACTTTATTGTGGTATTGTCTTCTTCTACCAAAATTATTTTTTTATAGCAACTGTGAAAGTAGTAACTCTAGTCATTTGCATTTTGTAATGAAAACTTTTGAAGAAAACAGTCTTCGCAAATCTTTACTTGAGTACCCTATGCAATATATTCTTAAACATGTTAAATGTAGATGAATCAAATTTAAATTCAGCCATATCTTAGGACTGATTACCCAGTGGGAATGGAGATGGACGTATTTCTTTATGGTCAATTATTGTTGTAACATTTGCTACTATTTGAAGGATTGTTAACATGGTCAAAGAAACTACAGCTCATATGATAACAGCTTGATAACAGTGTTAGAACCTACGCCCAAACATCGCTCTTAATTGTAATAAAGTAGTTGTTCATCCACAAATTCTTATCCTTACTTAGCTCATATGAGTATTAATTAAGCTGTAAGTATGACACAACACATAAATGATGCAATAGTGCACAAAAGGCTTCAGGGTCTTGTCCTATAATAAAAGTTATAATATAAATAAGATATTTCAATGTAGGTGATGGCAGTATTTTGTCATTCCTCAATTTTGCTAATATTGTCAACTGCCTACCTGACAGTGGTGTCACGACAGGTTTACCTCACATATCCATTCATATTTTGTGATCCTGAGAAACGATATGCTACATATAGTGACACTCATATTGTGTCATTTTGGCCTGGCTGACATGAGGTTGTGGCTATGAACAAGTTTATGTTGAAATTCCATGACTGCTTAGGGCTGACCTGATAGTTCATGCATTCTGATTCAGCATTATGTTTTGTGACAAGTAGTTTAGGTAATGCTAGCCAGAATAGTTATCAGACTTGGTTACTGCAATAATAGTAACTTATATTACTTTTGAAAATCAATACAGGGTAGGTAGGTACAGTATGTATATTATCATCAGTGAGTGATTGAGTGAGTATGGTTTTACGCCGCTTTTAGCAATATTCCAGCAATATTACGGCGGGGGACACCAGAAATGGGCTTCACACATTGTAGCCATGTCAGGAATCGAACCCGGGTCTTTGGCGTGACGGGCGAACGTATTATCATCAGATGTAAAATTGTGATGCGTTAACACATCATTGAATCATGACATCCCTACTCCTTGACATGCAGACATGCAGACATACAGATTTCTCAGTGTGTGACAAAACTACTGTCACCTGCAAGAGCTTGAGATCTTACCTGTTGTCTGTACCACATTACCTCTTTGGGGAACATCATTAGAGATCCCTTGTTAGTCATGTTATTGTCTAATGACAAGTATGGCACATGCAAAAATTAGTTTGTGGGTTCAAACCATTTGCTCATGTTCTACTCCAAAATACAAGACAGTAAGAATAGCATGATCATCCACCATAATAGGCCTAATTCAAAATAGTATTGAAACAGCAGCATGCTTTTTCAAATATTTGACATTAACATGTTGATCTATCTAGTTCCCTTCAAATCTGACTATATTTCGTATAGAGCAAAACCTTTGTTCTCAAGCGTTAGTCAATTAAATTTCAGCTTAATTAGTAACTGATTAGGTCCATGGAACAAAAAATCAAAGTAAACAGTGACTCGTCATCAGTGCCACTGGCCGCACCTGTAGATTTTCTTAGCTTTGTCAACGTCAGGTTTCGCTTCATTACTCGTACTTGAAGCTTTCTTCATAGCTTTACTTTATTTCTATTGTGGCACACCATTTCACACGCTTCTCATGTGAAATGGCACAACCTTAAACACGTTGCTGAAAGTTTCAGTTTCTTCCTCGTTACATTTTCATAGATAGACGCCATATTGGTCTCTAACACTGATCATGTGACTTCGGCGAGAATTTGCGAGAGTATAGAAAAAAGTCACCAGCTGGAGCTGGAAAATGGATTTACACTCCAAATCATTTTAAATAATTAAATCTGGTCCTTATTGAAAGAATAAGTATAAATAAACGATACTCTCGCGTTGTGAATGTTACTTTTGTGCCATAGCAGATAGATTGCAGACGGGAATGGGTGATAAAAAAATCGGAATTAGATTGTTCTCCACAGTCTGAAAACCTGAATTAATGACATTAATTACTTGATCGGCTGCAAATGTCGAAAACCTAATCTATTGGTTAAGAGAACAGTTTTTTTAATCTCATCAAAGGCAAGAGCAAAAATTATCGTGTATCTACATGGACTATACATTGCTGCGATTGTTTAGAAGCATATGAACAAAACTAAAAACCAATTCTATTTTTCTTTGAAAGTCCCCTACTTTTGTTGTTGGCTAACGACGAGAACACCATTATGGGATATCATAATAATTTTAATTAAATCTCAGCAGACACACATAATTTTATTTTATGGTCTCTGATCTCAGTTTTCAATAACTATAATCACAGATACTTTTCCATTCATTAAATATAAACGATTTAAATATATATGTGATTCATAATTAATATAGATTGATAAACAAGCCGAGTCGGCTTATGTGAATCTTCTCCATTATCAAATGTTATCAAAAATATTTCTTTATAAATAGAAACAAAATGGGAAAACACAATTATATAGCTATAGGGAAAGAGTTGAAAAAGTACAGAGTGTTTTTTTCAAAAGATTCATTGAACTTAGTAAACGCACATCAACCAATGTTGTGCTTGGGGAAGTGGGGCGATATTCGTTGTGAGTTAAGTATTTCTGTCGCTGCATAAAGTATTGGTGTAGGTAGGTGCGTATGAACCCACAGGTTAACTTCGGGCTTGCTGAGACATGCTAAATGTATATGTGGACAATGGAGGAGTATACTGGGCGTCACATGGTGACATGTTATTATTCCAAGAAGGATTCTCATACGTCTGGATATCCCAGGAATTATATGAGTATGTTCCGTACCAGATGCATAGATATTCAAATTTGGTGTCAAAAGATAAATACTTCCGTACTTGTTAGACATTATGGATCGTACGAAACATAACTCGAACCTGAATTATATAATATCAAATTTTGAAAAAAGATCTTATAAGAATACTTGGTAAATTTCGGTGTTTATCACATGGTTTCAAAATACAACTGCAACGTTATAGTAAAACAGTGTATGATTCAAGATGCCTAATTTGTGATAAATGTAACTTGATGGAAGATCGAAGAATAATACCTTTTTTGCTGGTGTGTCCCCACTACAGATCAAACAGAAATATGTTGTTATCGATATACTATCATCGTTATTCATCAAGACAGAAGCTTAGATTTAATGTCAACAAGAAATAGAAAAGCTTTGAAAGGTTTAGCCATTTTCATTTAGAGAAATGTACATTCATGATATAGATAGAGTATCGTAGATTTTCATCAGGGTGGAATCATGTGGATTCGTAGCTTGATGTCCATTTATTATATACTCCTGGCGATATCCGGTACTGCCAGGAGAGTTTTTAAAGGCGAGTCAATTGAAAATGTCATGATGAATGTAAAGTGACTTTAAAGAATTCCTGAATAATGTACATTTCAAATTTCTATACCACACACCACTAGCAATGTGTGTAAGATTGTACTCAGGGCCACGGGGCCCCCAACACTTAAATAAAACTGTCTGTCTGTCTGTTATAAATAACGAAGCCACTATAAAAAGTGGGCACTCAGTTTTAAAGTCACATGAGAGATACATTGGAATAACTGCATCAATTTCAATTAAGTTGGAAATGGCGTTAACCTTCATGTTTGATTTCAAACAAAGTGTGGATTGATTGAAAAGTTATATATTTTTTGTAGCAAATTTCGTTTCATTTAAACATAGTAATGTATATTAACATCGAGTCCATTAACATAACAGAACATTACACTTCTTAAAACGTTATATACGGAACATAGGAAGTATATGTACTTGAATATACGTTACATGACGCTTTCCGATGAAGAATAGTGTTAAGTGGTGAATAATATTGATTTGTATTCCATGCGCACAGAAGGTATACTGTCCGTGCGAAGATCCACTACCGACTTACCTATATTGTCAGAGATCTCAAATCATTAAATTTGTTAACTTAATATTAATTTGAAATATACACTTTTGTGACAGGGCCTATTTCAAACCATAGACTAAAGTGTCTTGTTCGTCGTATAGTACTTGACAGCCGATCTAAGCCTTAGTCTGATATAGAAAGTCAGGTCAGTCAGGTCGGGGCCCTGCAATAGGGTGATCAATATGGTCCGACACTCGCTGTCGATGTCTCGTGATTCAAAAATGTATTTCAGTAAGTAAGCCGGCTTTCCATTTTCGATCATATTTCCACCAAAGTTATTTCCTTCAGGATTTTCGGTTCTGGTGAATGTTAGATTTGTGTTTTGACAGGAAAGGATACACAATGTATATAGTACTGTTATCAAGGTAAGTTTCAAAATGGATTGTTGAAATGTATGAAAATAATAGTTAACGTACATTTCAACCTTGCCAACGTGTGGACACTTTATTGATTTCGAAGCAATGAGTCATTAGGAAAGAGAGGCGTTGTTTATGTAAATCCTAATTTATAGAAGTTCTCAAATAAGACATCCTCTAAATAATAGGTTGAAACTGTTATAATTAAGTGATGTTTGTATTTTCGGATGTGAAAACATGTAGTTTTTATTATAGGGTACTGTCGTGTGTTTTATTTTTTTTAACTACAGTTTATTTCTGTAATTCTAAAAACAATATTTCAAATTAATATTTTCCTCAATAAAAAGGGAATATAAAAAATGTAATATACTTGTACACACCTACTCCCATTGGCGGGCCCGTGAATATCCGGGTAGAGATGAGGTATTCAGCAAAAGGCGACTAACGGGATCGGGTGGTCAGGCTCGCTGATTTGGCTGATGCATGTCATCGTATCCAAGTTGCTCATGACGTCAATCACTGGATTGTCTGGTCCAGACTCGATTATTTACCACCCGTTTCATATACGTAGCTGGAATAATGCTGAGTGCGGCGTTAAACAAAAAAGTTCAATTGACATTCTTACAGCAAGCGATCGAAGTGGACCGCCGAGCAAAAGAAAACATGCATGCACTTGAAAATTGGATTTGATCAATCATTACAAACGTTATCAAAACGCAAACATTTTAAAACTTAAGGTCCAAAAGCAACTATAATACCCTTATCAAATCTATCACCATCGAATAACCATAAATAAAATAGCAATGAAACGCCGTTAAAACAGTAAAGAAGTTGTTATCCATAAAAAAAATATCTTATCTCCGAATGAAGTGTGTTACTGTTATATCAAACCCTGTCGTAGATAAACTGTTCCATTGATAGTTAGATACATTACTTCAGATTTGAACCCGGGAGTATCAAGTACAAGAATTATTCAATAATGTGTCGCGCTATTCATTTGCTGACGTACCCATGGCATATACTTGTGGTGGGTTTATATTGAGTATCACATCTCTATCCTTTCAAAATAATCTTTGTGTATCATACTTATATACCATGACTTGTCAACAGATAACATACGATGTTTCGTGAACTAGGTGGAAAGTTGCTGACTGCGGCGTCAAACAGGCAAATGTAAATTACGTGTCACGTGACCCACCCCTGTCACGTGGAAGGGCCGCCCTTATCCACATGATCATCAAACAAGTTATCTGTAAATAACTGGCGATAATTGAACTGGATTACAGGAATGGTACACACGTGTTTTCGCCAGGGTCAAGAATGTAATTTCGCTGATAGCTGCCTCACGATCTGACGTTATTTGTAATCAGTACCTTTTTTGAGGCACTCACATGTGTTAAATCTGCAGTGGAGAAATTATGTATTTACATATACATATGACTGATGACTTGTTTGAGAGGGGACATCTGTAAAGAAACGATTCAGGCTATTTAAAAAATGAAATAGCTATGCAGCTCAACACAAAGCGATCTTAGCGCTAAGACTATTGTAAGCCTATGTTAAAGTATGGGAGTTATGGGATCATCTTAGCGCCAAGATCGCTTTGTGCAAGTGGGCCCAGGATTTGTTTTCAGAAATTAAGCCTTGATTATCTTGACTTAATCATTGAACCAGGTTTAAGTGAGTGAATTCAGTTTTACGTCGCCATTTGCAGTATTCCAGCCATGCTACCACAGGGAACACCAGACATGGGCTTCATACATTGTACCCATGTGTGGAATCGTATCCAGGGCTCCGATGTCACGAGTTGCCAGCTGTGTATAACCTTTTAACTTTCGACATAATTTCCCTCAAAATATACTTGGGTAATATATCCGACTGACTGCTGAAAACGTCGTAAAATAATACCCACTAACTGATTCTGCTGGGAGCGGTGGAGCCTAGCGGTCCTTCATTCGTCAAGCCGAAGACCAGAGGTCGATTCTTCACACGTGTATACTAGGGCTGGGAGGGGTAACTCGGATACCCGGGTCGGGTGGGTACTGAGTAGGACCCGGGTACCCACAGGACTACACGGATTCGTGGTTAGTCACTTGATATATTGTTTAATGACAATAATTATCTAGAACTCTATGGTTACACTACATGTCACTAATGTTCGCATTTATTTCTGTCTATGCAGCCATTCTTCTGACTTTTCATAAGGTTGAATAAAGATATAACTTAAGTCAACTTCAGTGTATGCATGACCAGATCGTTTAATACATGTATCTAAATACGTTTTGCAAGTGCTGTGGTAAAAAAAATTATTTCTAATCGGAGAATTTGCATCTCGTGAGACCTACAGTGGCTACCCGGGTAGGGTCGGGTAATAGAGGGGTAGGTACCCGGGTAGTAAATTTGGACTCGTCCCAGCCCGAGTGTAGACTGTGTGAAGCCCGTTCTCCGTT